AGTCCGAGAAAAAAAAAAAAGAAAAAGAAAAAAAACAGAAAAGAAAAACCAGAAACTATTGTCCACGGGTCCAAACCGTCCAACACACAGAGCCCAAGCAAACATTGAAAGAGGAGCATCGGGAAAGCAAGGTCTCATCTGACAACAATCGTCAGGCGGTTGCCGAGAGGAAAAGGCTCAAATAAAACATAAAACACATCACACACGCGCACACACACACACACAAAAAAAAAAAAAGCGAGAAACAAAAGTGCCCTCCCTCCTCAATAAAAAGAAAAGGGAGCCTCATCTCGAAAATTACTGGATGGCGGACAAAAAAAACGTCAACAACAAAAAAGCAAAAAAAAAAAAAAACAAAGGGGAGGGGGAAGAAATGAAAAAAAAAAAAAAAAAAAAAATCCCAAAGAGCAAAAAAAAGCAAAAAAAAGCAAAAAAAAGCAAAAAAAAGCAAAAAAAAGCAAAAAAAAAAAAAAAAAAACTCACTACGATCGTCTTTGCTTTTCTTCGTTCGTTCACTTTTTATTCCTTTATTCTTTTTATTTCGTTGCTTCCCTGTCTATTTGTCTTTGATATATATATATATATATATATATATATATATATATATATATATATATATATATATATATATATAGAGAGAGAGAGAGAAAGAGAGAAGTATATATAATATGCAAGTTTTTTTTCTTTTTTCATCTCCTTCGTTCCCTTGTCATTTACTTGTAATTGGCGTTCTGCAGATTTTTTAAAGAAAAAGGGTCTGAGAAAAAAGGAAGAAAAAATTTTCATCTGTTATGACGGAACGTACACCGCAGCGTGTAAATCACTCTTTATGGAAGCACCGTAAAACGATGGGTCTGCGCCGCCTTGATAGTTGTATTGGCAGCCACCAGGAAGTATCTTGCATTGAAACATGGGCGTCACTTCTGGCGGAATTTGCTGCTGAGGCTGAAAAATCACCGGTTCCCAATTCTGGCCCTGACACTCAGGTCGGACACATGGCGGAAAGGAATATGGATTTCCAATGGCGGAGACCATCACGGGAAGCATGTTCGCACTTATGCGCTGAGGTTGTTGCAGAGCTTTTTGCGACTGCTGGGTGTTGAAAGGAACCGGCTGTATGATTTTCATGGGCGGGGTCGGATACATCACATTTTGAAGAAAAACACGAGAAGACGGGATGTTTACCTGGGATGATGCTGGTGGCCGTGTCCCGGGCAACACCATCCCTGGCGGACTGCCAACCAAACCCACGAGAGGAACAGAGTTACTATTCGCAGGCAAAATAGGCGAGGATTCCGATTTTAGCCGTGGCTGTGGCTGTGGATTAGGATGTGGCTGTGTCTGCTGAGGCACGAGGTGTTCAAAACCACCAAACCCATGTGCATCGTTTCCCGTAGATGAAAAACCAGCTCCAAAATTAGAATCAATTGACGACTGTAAACCATTACTACCCGGACTGAAAACCGAGAAGTTGGCACTCACAATATTGCCCTGATAGAGGCAACGAGAAGTGAAGAAGGCGTGGTGCAGCGCATCCGTGCAAGACAGCCGCCATCTCACATCCGGTTGCAACAGTGCGCACAGTAGGTTCACAAACGCCGATTCCTCCCCAACCGACTGATAAGAGTGATTGAAACCGGTGGTGTTGCAACGATAGCTTGCAATGAGATTTCGAAGATTAGCCTCTGCGTTCACGTCCATTGCAAAACATGGCAATTGTAGCTTTTCCACATTGGCTCCACTCGAAAAGGCTTCCATGGGAGGCATTCCAACGGTGCACATAATGCTAGTCATTTGTTCCCTCGGATTTTCACCCGCAAAAAGTGGTTTCCCCGTGTATAATTCAAAGAGAAGGCAACCAACACTCCAAGAGTCAATATGCGACGTGTATGGCAACCCCAACATCACCTCAGGAGCGCGGTACCAAAGCGACTGAACATCATAGTAGGTATTCTCGTGAAACTGTCGCGCCGCCCCAAAATCAATAAGACATGTTTTTGTAAAGTCACTCAAATTATTGCGGTCCGTCTCATTGAAGCGAAGCATGACATTCGCTGGTTTAATGTCGCAGTGCATGTAACCCGCCTTATGCAGCTCCGCCAGGGCCCGGAGAACACGCTCACCAACAATACGCACGGTGTCTAAGAA